GCAGCACGCAGCCGCAGCCAGGACAAGCAGCAGCAGCAGCAGCACAGTCCCACTGAACATTCAGCCTCTGCCAGCTGCATGTTTTATGACAACACATTAAAGAGGAGCCTGGAAGTCTGCTGTGTGAGACTTGCATTGTCCGTCCTCTGCCAGCAAGGAACCAAACCTGGCACGTCTCACTGAACAAAGACTCCCACCGCAGGTCCTTCTCCTGAAAACTCACCCAAAACAAAGGACACAGACGTAGGGAAGAAGTGCGGTGGGACCAGAACCAGAGGCAATACGCTTGAGGTTTGTGGAGGGAGTTGGTGTTTGTGTGTTAGGGAGTGGGTGAGGAATGTTCGAGTCGGCCGTGTGGCCACTCTGGGTTGATCCGTGGCTGCAGACAAGGGGGAATCCAGATTGACTATGATAGGAATGTGAGAGCAGGATATCATTAGAAAGACTGGGAGCTGCAGCAGTCCCAGCACAGCAGGCAGCAATGCAAACAGATACACAGAGAAGAAGTGATACAGGCCTACACACTGGGAAAGTCATTACAGCGCTCATGCCAGCGCTGAATATTATGGGCTGGTGAAAATGGCAGCCAAGTCTCTCAGATGAAATATTACACTGTGGTATGCAGCGCTACAGTAGACTGCCCCAGCTCCATCCACTCTCTTCCTCAAAAACACTTTTATTGGAGACCAAACACCATGTAATGTGAGGCCAAGTGTTCTTCTCATGATGGTACAATTCTGTGAAAACAAGCTGAGGACTCCACCTTAAACCACAAATCCAGCTCCAGACCAAAAGGCAGGGCTGGGAAAGGCCCCAAACATCTTATTGTAATTATCAGAAAGCAGCACGTTACTGAAATACCAAACAGAAACATATAGAGTTTTAGGGAATTAAAGCATCAGAGTTTTAGTTCAAGGGAGAGTTTTTAAAGGAGATTATTGCTCATAACATTTGTGCGATTTGAACATAATCTTATTTGTTTTGACAAATCTGTTTGACAAACCTTAGTTTTGATCCCAGTCAGAAAATCCCTACACTTTCGACACTCTCTACTTTACTGTGGAGAACACTTAAAAGTGTATACCCTGCCAGATGTCAATATTCTAATGTTAAGCAGAAAAGCACTGATTTCACACAGACATAAATATTCACTTTGCTGAAACGCAGCGACAAACCTTGTTTCAAATAAAATCTTTTATGCATATTTTGCATCTGGGTCATTTGCATTTTAATTAGAGGCAATTATTTACATTTGCATGTTTGTCTAATTCCTACAGCTGTGTCTCATTTACCAAGTGCTTTTACATAATGACTGGTTAGTAGTTTTGCAAAAGCACTGAATAGAAAACATTTTACCTTCTGAAAGGAGACTGAAGCTATTCACTATAATGTAACAAAGTCAGTACTAAGTAATATAATAAAATTAGACAAAAAAATAAGCAAATATAAGTTGTACAGAACATTTAAAAAGCTTGCTGTGGTTACATGTTTTTCCAGAAGTAAAAATATGTCCTGTACATTTTCTGAGACTAAACAGATTCTGTGAATGCAGTAAAACTCCCGGCTCCTGATTCTGAGTCCAACAACATAAATCAAACAGGAGAACAACACCTGTTGTAAAATATCTGATATCATGTCTTTTTATCTATATGAGACGGTGGAAGAGAAGTAATTTACTCTGTGTGTGTGTGTGTGTGTGTGTCAACCCAGATCTTTTTCACATAAACTGGCCTCAGCCTCACAGACAGTCAGTGAAGGAACACTGCTGCTTCCTCACGACTGAATGCACCTTTATTATCTCTGCTACCGCAGCCAGAGTGTGGAGGAAAAGAAACAAGAGTAGGACAGAGGAAAAGAAACAAGAGGAGGACAGAGGAGAAGGCTGTGTGGCAACAAAACACAATAAGTCTGAACCAACAGCAGAAGACACACACAGACAATTCCTGCTCAGACAGAGAGAAAGAGCAGATTTCTGAGATGATGTATCCCTGTGTGGCTGCCTGAGGGGTACACACAGTATTATGAGGAGGATTTGAGTTGACACAAGTCACAGTCGCTCCGTCGCCGCTGTGCAGGAGGAGGAGGAGAAGATGAATTATTCAGCCAGCTCAGCTAGGCTCTGACGTCTTGTTGTGTCTTATGGAGAGGCTGAGGCGAGTCTGCAACAACAAGCAGCACCTCCTCGCAAGGAGGCCGTCAATGACAGCCTGAGGATGGAGCATCCAAAGGCACCTCGATTTTCCTGAGGACAGGACATCATTTCACAGAGCAGCAGCAGTAGGAGCAGAATAATAGCTCCCCTTCTCAAAATGACAGCCATCGCTGCGGCACAGCAGCACAGATTGCTGCTCTATCATTCCCCCCACACACAGGATGAAATGACAGGCCCGGCCTCGCTGATAGCACAGCATCTGAGCCTGAGTAGGTCTTCCTCCTGGCTTAGCCCAGCTTTCATGTTATTATACCACAGCAGAGCAATATTCAGCCTGCAAATTCACAACCTGCTGCTGGGATCAAGTCTCAAAGCCTGGTATTTGTGAAGCTGAGAAAATGGAAGAATGAAAACATGTGGTACACCTGATCTGTTCCCTAACACGTTTCTTTTGTCAAACACAAAAACATCTATTTCTCTCAGCAAATGTGATGAAAACAGACTGCGCTCGGCTGGAGAATTACATTTTACAGAATGTGAAAACAGTGATTCTGCTTTCTGTCTGTGAGAAATGAAAATTATTCAGGCTTTGAAGCAGGATTATTGTGTCACTGCTGCCTCTCTACACACAACTGAACAAACAAGCGCTCATAAAGAAATGATTCACTGATGTGGCAACGGGATGTAAAAGCAACAGCACAACAACAACAACAACAGAAACTGTGGGCAGGTTTCAAAACGAATTGATCATCCGTGAGAAGAGGAGGTCACTTTTAATTTCTATAGTTTTCATGTTCTGTTTAGATCATGTCAATGTTGGAAACTAAAATACAATTTAGAGTAAAACTGATTACACAGCACAACTGAAGAGGGCAGATATCAGCGAAAACATGTTTAAATAATCGTATTGCAAGTATGGGAACATGTATTCCGAACAAAGAAGCTAGAAATAACTCTTCCTACATTTAAACACTGGTAAACAGTACGTAACCAAAAGTAAATGTTTCTGGGGAAACAGGTTAGTTACGTTTATGTTTTAATTATATAAATACACCCTGCCAAAACTGGTAAACAAAAAAAGAAATACATTTTTTTTGCTCCAATACCGCTACCGGCCAGTAGGCCTCTATAGACGTTAACTCAACACCAGCGACGCTACAACTAACCTGTAAAAGGTAATACACTTCAACAGCCTTTTTATAATACCACGGCTATAAAAGCAGTAGTGAATCTCTTTACTATTATTAACTAATTACACATTAAACTTACTAATGATAAAACCCAAGTTCAACACATCTTTGTAACTGCACGCACAAATTTACATCAACTCTGACAGAAACGAATTAATATAAAAACACACTTCACTCACCTAATTACTGTTGTTCTGCCAACTTATCCTCCGTGAGTTATTCTCTGCGAAACAGTCCTGTTATTTCCAACAAAAGGTGGTTTTATTTGAAAAATATTTACGTGAAAAAAGTTGCTACAGGTGCGGTTTGCTAGCCCCGACTAGTTATGTGCAGACTTTAGCCAGTTAGCTATTTAGCTGCGAGTTCGTTTCTGTCCATCCAATCATAGTAAGTGAAAACGTATACGTCATTAAATGCCCCTTGACCCCTACTCAACATCTGATTGGTCAAAGCAATGCCTCCCTATTACGCTCAAGGCTGATTTACCTTGACAACAGTTGATATCCGAATATGATTGGATGAAAACTAGATAATAAACTTGAGCTACCGGAAATTCAACTTGTTTTTACATGAAGATTACATTAAGGCTTACCATTTCCTCACACCCACCACTCGTTGCCACAAACAGCATAGATAATCATCAGATTCTAACGAGATTTAAATAAAACATTTCATAAATTAAAATTTAAAAATCCAATATAAGTTAATTATTTAAGAAAAATCTGAAATGTATAACTTAACAATTTACTATGGCAGTTGATATTTTAATTGAACCTTTTCACTAAGGTTTTATTCAGGTATAATTCTAATAATTATTATAATTTGAATTTAAGTTAATTGTTTGTCAGTGTAAATATTGTATATATATCTTTTCCATTTGTTTTATGTTGTACACATGTAGGGGCTACAACACTAATTTATACATGGTATAGTGAGTCATAATCTTAAAAACCAACATTTAAAAGCCTAACTGATATTTTTCACTTGGCTCTTGTACACAAGCCTAACTGATATTTTTCACTTGGCTTTGAAAGAAATGACCTTAAGAATAATGAAATGTTAGCAAAAGAGTTACCTCTAAAATGGTGGTTTAGATTAAATGATTTAATGCTGAGAAATAAGTCACAGACAATTCCTGATTGGTCACGGAGCCCAGACATTCAACACAGTAAATTTAGCAGTATTCTGTCAGGAAGCAGAAAATACGGTCAACGTGTATTTTGTGGTGTAACTTAGTCGTTTATTTTAATTCCACAAATTTTTCAAAAAAATTACAAAATACTCAAATGGAAAGAACACAGGACTCACAATTTTTCTTATTATTTCTACTTTTTGTTTACATTGTGTCATCCCATGGCGACTACTCATATATACAATAAGCTTCAAGATACCAGTATATATATAAATCTTAGCAGTCAGAATGTACATTCTGCTATTGCCGCTTTGAAACAAGAAGCTAAACCATTGACAACACTTAACATCAAAGGTATTGGAGACACAAAAAGAGGGAGTAAAAGGCAAGGTGATCAGGAAACCAGGCAGAGGAGGAGGAGATCGACGATGATAATGATGATGATGATGATGATGATGCCGATCATGTCGTCAGAAGAGACAGGAATCAGTGGGAGAAGGCGAGACAGTGACCGGTTGTTGTCAGGTCTTTTTTTGAATTTTTAAAAACAGGGAAATGAGATTCAAGATGTTTGCAACCATTTAGACGTCAGAGTGCTCCAACAGACCGTTTGACCATTTTAAAATGCAAATACGAGTTTCTTCATCGGACTAAAATAAAAAGCCACAGTTAAACAGTCTTAGTGCACAGATAAAATGCAGACCTTACGTCATGGATTAAAAAAAAAAATTAAAAATTAAAAAAAAAAAAAATGGGGGCTTGTGTGCACTGATCAGACAGACAGCTCAGTACTACAGGTAACAGTCAGTGGCACGAAGACACACACTCCTGACAGCAGGAAGTGGTGTGTATCCTTAAGGAACGAAGGCAAATGCTAACATACACCCGCTCACACACGCAAACACACATGGTCACATGATAACAGAACTCCTCCTAGTGTCACAGTGAGCATTATTACAACCTAATAATGAAGAACGACTTCGGCCGCGTCCACAAGTAGATGATTCAAATTATTTGTAAGTGACAGACTTGAAAACAGAGATTCAACTCAAACTAAACTCTTCTGTGACTTAGTGTCTGAAAACTAGGGAATGAACTCCATGGACATGACTTAAATTTCTTTGACAACTGACAAAAATTCCAGGTCAATGAAACTACGTCTGTGACTCAGGCTTAACTAAATGAGGAAAACCTCTATTTTCAAAAGAACCAGACTAAGTGTGGACCAGGCCTGGGTCTGATTTGAGCTCTGCATCAAACATGGAACAGAAAAAACACAAACCAGCAGTCACTGAAAAACATTTACACATGTAAAAAAAAAAGTGTTCATCTCTGGTTTCATAGTTAACGACATTAAAATTCAAGCCTAATTGTTTAAAAGGATAAAACCTTTTTTTTCCAAAGGCTTCATTTCAGCCAAATGTGTTTCTGGCATCCATATTGTAAGAACCATGATCAAAAGTAAAAGCAAACCTAATGAAGCTTTATTACAATTTCAGGTGTTGATGTAAAAAAAAATAATAATAATAAAGGAAAAGAAGAGAGTAAAAACCAATAGAGTGGAGCGTGAGTTAAGCCTCCCTCAGTGCAAATTAGTTTACCATTTAAAACCAACAGCTCTGGCATGCGCGCCACCAAAGCCCGTTCAAGTGTTTTCATCGCATGGTGAACTCCAGGTGTTTAAGTCTGAACATTCTGACGACCTGCTGCGTGTGGAAGGTCAGCGTTGGATGGAAGCAGTGAAGCATTTGTCTTTGTTTTTTCAACATGGGACTAAATCTAACACAGTGATGTCAGAGGAACGTCACAACTGAACTGTAACTCTCTCAGAAACTGCTCTTTAATGCCATTGTGCTCCCCTCTGAAACAAAGGGATAATGCGTCCAAAACAAGTATTACTGGAGGTTGAAACGACTTGGTTTGGAGTCCACACCTAGTAATAATAATAATTATAATAATAATTATATGTTTATATATATACTATTTACAGACTCAAAAACGCCATGCTGTAGCTTCTCTTAAAATTATGAAAAAACCTCCGACAATGTATTAAAATAAATGTTGAATTTAAGATAGCACTTGTTATTTTTCAATAAACGGCCTGACCGGTCTTTGTCTTTTTTGTCCTTGTTGTAGTTGTTGTAGTTGTTGTAGTTGATAAGCACAGTGTCTTCTTCTTCTAGCACCTACAAAATAATGTCAGGGAAGCTTCTCATGCAGAAGGAGTCTTGTGGACGTTGTCACTACTGGCTATATACCAAACAAAGTCAATGTCTTGAAAAATAATTAGAAAAAAAGTCTTTGACGTGAACTGAAAAAAAGAAAAAAAAGAAGAAAAAGAAAAAAAAAATATCCAAAGAGTTCCCAGACGATCCAGTCGGCCTTTTCTGTTCCTCAGAACTGAATGTGTCTTAGAGAGGATTCAGCAGAGAACATCCCTGTAACAACTACCTCTGTCCTGCGTCCGTCTGCGGCTGTCCCCTCACTCACTGAGCCTTTACAGCTGCTTGTCGCTCTCTTTTTTCAGCCGGCTGAGAAAATAAAAACAACAAAAAAAAATTATGTTAAATAAAGCTTTATTTGAGGGAAAAAATGTATGTTATGAAAGATATATTTTGTCTTTTTTAAAACATTCCCACATATATTTTTAACCTTTAATCTTGTCAATGTCATTGATTCATTTTTTCTAAAGTCACTTTCTGTTTTGTTGTGATACTAACAAGCAGTAATGACATACTGCTTGTTAGTATCACAACAAAACAGAACTAAGGTGAGTAAATCTAAAATTAAAAAAAAAAAAAAGACAGCTTGAGTCTTTGCAACTCACACAGGCTACCACAGGAGGTGCCATTTAAGTATGTGGCTTCTTGTATTTTGGTGAAATCATTTTATATCAGTACATGAACTAATGCTGTGGACTTCGGTCAAAAACCCCAGGTTATTAATTCTACCACTGTTTCCACTGACTGACCTGTAGTAGTCCTCCTGACCAGGCAGGGGTCCTCCGTGCATGTGATGGTGACCGTGGAGCCACTGCTGCTCCATGGCCAACCTCTGCAGCTCAGCTGACTGTGCGTGCATGGCCTGCAGCTGGTGGGCTGCAGACATGGGCGGCGGCAAACCTCCTTGTAGTTCGCGTGGGTAAGGAGCACCTGGAGGAGGCGCAGAGGAAAACTCTGATTGTTGAATCTGGCCATGATGGTTTTTAGACTTAGTTCATGTTGTTAACAAAAATCTAGGTCAACTCACCGAAGACCGGGTGACGCAGCATCTCGTGTTCGTGTGGCGGGTGGCCGAGGAGCGGGTTGGGGATGGCGCCGTGCGGGTACGGGAAGCGAGCCAGGTGAGGTCCAGCTGCCAGAGGGTCTACGGCCAGGGGGTGGGCCCCGGAACCTGACGGACACACAAGACATTCACCACCACCTTCTGGGTGTCAGAGTCTTAGGGTCAAGGTGCACTCATCACAACAGGCAGTGCATGCTACAGTTACACAGGTTATAATGACATGTTACTGATGACCTACAGCCAACAGTCAACTGATAACACACAGCATGATTAATGACACGTGTCTAAGGCTAGGGGTCGCTAATAACACTGGTTTGATCTGGTAATATTTTAATTCTGTCAAACAATAATATTCTTGCAAAATGGCTCCACATTTATTATACATTAATAATAAAATATTCAAAAATAAATATTATATAAATAAACAATTTTCTGGCCCTGAGTTTTGTTTATCTAAAAGGTAATCTAGCAGTTCATT